CAGGTGTGAAAACTTGTTGCATCTTTCCCAAAAAGACTCATGGCTGTATTAGATCAAAAGGGTGCTTCTACTAAATACTGAGCAAAGGGTCTGAATACTTAGGACCATGTGATATTTCAGTTTTTCTTTTTTAATAAATCTGCAAAAATGTCAACAATTCTGTGTTTTTCTGTCAATATGGGGTGCTGTGTGTACATTAATGAGGGAAAAAAAATTAACTTAAATGATTTTAGCAAATGGCTGCAATATAACAAAGAGTGAAAAATTTAAGGGGGTCTGAATACTTTCCGTACCCACTGTACCATCAGTCAACCACTGGTTCCGGGAAAGTGAGAGAGTCTGGGACCCAGCTCACCACCAGCTTCAATGGGCAGTGCGCCAGCCACTCGGGACATTCAGATGCGCCTGCCCTGTAAGAAGTTAAGTCCCAGATACATTGGTCCCTTTTCCATAGTCAAGCAGATCAGTCCATTTACCTACCAGCTCCAACTTCCTCCTGAGTACTGCATTCTGCATTCACCCTACATTTCATGTTTCACTGTCTGTTTTCCCTACAGACCCTGGCCCGATGGAGAAAGCCCCCCTCCGTTGATCATTGAGGATGGAAGAATCTACTCTGTGTGGGAGATCCTAGACTCCTAACGTCGTGGTGGCTGTCTTAAATACCTGGTTGACTTAGACTTTATCCCACATGACTCACTGTATTTCATGAATCTCATCCAGATCAACCTGCACCTCGTGGAAGGGGTCGGCTGCCACAATATCAAGGTCCCTGGCCCTCTGGAGCGGGCCGTTGGAGGGGGGTACTGTAACGGAAGTGCCAGGCTCTCTCACCACTCAATCCCAACATTCACCCTCACCAGATTACTAATCACCCGCACCAGTACCTATAGCCTGCGGCCTATAGTCACTCCATCCCTCCATAACTGTCACATTTTTCCAAAAGCATCTGTGTTACGGCTGTGGTAATATTATGTAGTGAACTGCTGATGGGTTTAAAGTGAATTACCGTTTGGCTTCAGGGACAGACTGATGTATAACGCAAAAAAAAAATGAGTGCTCAAAAGTGTCCAAAAGTGAAATCTCTTGTCCATATAAGCTCAAAGGTAAACATCCTGCCAGTCATATTTGGGAATGGCAATGTGAATTGAATGGGGGATTGAGAATGTGCAGCAGAGATGCACTAATATGGGACGGGGTGGCATCTGTGTATTTGTGCGTCATTGTTCACGATCTTCATTGGAGTGCCACCATCTCCCACTATGAGGGACTGTTCTGTATGTTCTTAGCCCTGAAGCAATAGAGATGTCTTTGATGCTATAGTGCGAGGTGTGTGTGTGTAGTAGCATATAAAAACAAAGCCTGAAATGCCAGAGGCAGAGAATTAAAGAGCGGACTGCATAAGCGGAAGTCTAAAATTGGACGGTTCGTCTTTGTGCATGACACTGCCATGCCATAGCACACGTGCTCACATAAACACACATGCTGGTTTACAAGCTCTTATACCTGATATTAACCTCTGAGGTTTTTGACTGGTCCCTGTTATTTAAGGTTTTTTGTCATACTCTTAATAATAAAGGCTCCAAAATGGAGATTTTACATTGATACCATTTTGGATGCCATTTTAGGTTCCTCATAGAACCTTTCAGTGAACAATTCTTAAAACATTTCTTAATGTGAAGAATATTTCAATAATCTGAAGAACTTTTTTTCCACTATCAATAACCTGTTGTCCAATGGAAAGGTTCTGTGGATGTTAAAGGTTCTACATGGAACCTTTTTAAGAGTGTGAGGTGAAAGAAGGTGGAAGTATTTTAACTATGTCTGATTATGCTTGCAAAATTACAGTAAATGCATACAATATTTGTGTCTTTAGGCATTTTGGTATGATAGAGAATGCAGAAAGAAAGAAAACAACAAATGATGCAAATGAATGAAAGAATATGATACATTCTTAAAATAACAGTTCCAAAGGGGAGTTTCGCAGTGATGCCTTATATGAACCATTTTGGTTTCCCAAAATAACATTTCCCCTTTTTAAAACAAGCATTTTTTCCTACCATGAAGAACATTTTAATAGTCCAAAAACCTTTTTCCATTATAAAGAAACTTGGAAAGTTCAATGAGCTCTTGCAATGGAAAAGTTCCATGGGGGATAAAGGTTCTTCATCGAATCATAAATGCCAATAAAGAACCTTATATAACCTTAATTATAAATATTTTAATAGTCTACCTATAGAAGGAGAGGTAATTTCATGGAGGCTTGATGCAAACCTGTTGAAGGATGTACATACATTGTAGTTTAGTGATTGGATTTCACCAGATGAGTTTAAGGGCTATTTGAAATCTGAGTAGAAATGAAAGGCAATTGAACTCCGGCACATTCCAGCTTATGATAATATCTGGAAGTGAATGCATAAGAATCTTCTAGCAGTTTTATTACGAGAACAAATCAACATCACAGATAAATTACTGCGTAAGATTAGCAACATTCATGCTAAATTTGAATTGCATGCTGAATTGATGCAAGCTTTTTTACTCCGTTATGTAATGCATTTTCATTTGAATCAGGATATTACATGAGTAAAAATATGGGGCAGGAGTTGGTAAAAGTCGATGCTGAATGGAATTAAAGCAAATGTCACTTTGCTAAAATATTGCATACATATCTGATATTGCATACATACCCACTTCAGCCCCTCTACCAAAGTATACAGTTGTAACTGCTGTGTTAATGCATTTAAGCCACCACTGAGCAGCATTAAACAGTCTGAGTAAAGACACCTAAATGCCACTTCAGAAACACTTCTGTGCCACCTTTGCAGTGTAAATTTGGCATAATATGTGTGACTCAAGTTTAATCTGTGTGTATGAATTGAAGTGAACATCAGTATGCCATGCTCAGGGAGTAGAGACCAGTGATGACATTTCTCAAAACATCTTCTTTTACCTTCCACAGAAGAAGAAAGTCATAGAATTTTGTAACAAATAAATAAATAGATGATAAGAGTGATTTTCATTTTTGTGTGAATTATCTCTTTTTGTTTCAGAGCAAGTTTTATATTTTGATTAAAGATTATGGGGGCAAACTGATCTTTTTTATCATTTACTGATGAATTGTTCACAACAAGGCCAGAATTCTGATTTCATGTTGAGTGAAATGAAAGGTGATGTTGTTGACCTTGTTGCTAAATGCAACATCAACTTTAGCTCATTTACAACATACCGCTATTGGTGCCATAATATATAACGTATTTTCCAGGCTTCTTGTGATCACACAGCCTCAGGCCCTTTAACCATCTAGTGCTCATCGTGATCACACTTGCTCTTCCAGGCAGTGTAGCAGTTTAAAATTCCCAATTTAACCCTACACAGATAAAAGCCAACGTGAAGACATGTCTTTTGAACCCTGGCATTAAACATCACCTTCCCAGTGCAAGACCTGGAACTGCACAAGCGTTATAATCTTCACCCCATTACTGGGGACGCAGAGAGATGTGTACAGTCAAATCACAAGCCTCTAAGCACTGTGGAGCGAAACTTAAATCCTCCCCATAAAGAGGAGAGGAAAGTTTGCCGCTTAAGCCTGGCACACACGCTGGTTATCAGCATAAACCCCACATCAACTGTCGGTCTGAAGCCCGCTGCATCTCACGCCTGTGTAAATCCACAGAGTGGAATCACAGACGAGACGCCCTCTCTTGCGTTTATAGATGAGTAAGAAAAGGAGGTTACAGATGTATTTTCCTCTGGCTCTTGAGGAGAAATGGAAATTATGGGGGAGAAAACCAAAGATAAAAAGACATATGTGGCTTATTTAATGTTGTCCAATATCTTCTTTTATTTTCTACAGAAGAAACAACATGAATGATGACAGAACTTGTATTTTTTGGGAACTGTATTTGTCTATTTAGTTGTTTTTTGCTATTAACAAGAACAGAGAGAAGTGAGCAGCTGTGAGCCAGGGATTCACAGTGCATGTTGTCATGCAATACTCTTGGGAAGTAAGCCCTTTGGAAGCTGTGTGAGCAGACATGTACAGGTGATGCATCCATAAATGTAGAATCTATAGCGACTTTTATTTTTTCTTTAGTTTTTTTGTATGTGGGGAAAACAGCCGAGTAAGTGATCTCACCGCTGCGGCTGCGAAGCATCCTGGCAGAGATACCGTTTGCTCCTATAGATGTTGTGCTGCTCAGAGGTCCATCCACAGGACTCACCTCCCCACCTGGCTGCTTCAGCAACTCCTGCAGAGTCCTGCGAGGAGACAGGAGTAATCATTTACTGACCATTATATCCAACAGGGAAGTTATTCTGAATTAAATCAAGAATGCTTCTTAATTTATTATTTAAATTGACCCTTTGCAGAGACCCGCCTCCTTCGTTACTTATGCTATGTCCGACAAGCCATGGCGCTCTCACTCAGTGTAAAATGCATCGCACCGACCGGCAAGACAGAACAGGTACTTTAGGTATGAAACATAGTCTTAGCTTTCAAATTTGATAATTTTTTTAAGAAATTCAAACAATAAATACCATTTTGTGGCTCTTTAATGTGTCGTGACAGATCGCTGTAGCGCCTCAGTTCAAGTGGCACGTGAACCAAACATCTCTTCCTCTTTACTAGTTATAATATGAAATAAACATGAATGAACATCAGAAGGTCTCTTGTTTCAATCACGGAAAGATGTCAATACAAAACATTTCTCAAGTTCACGTTCACCGACGTTAATCTACTCTCCTGACTGGTTTGTTTGTTGGACAAATTGAATTGAATTGAATTCAAAATGATTGAATTGGAGTTCTCAAATTAATTTGAGGAAGTACAATTAAAATGCTATTTTAAATTTATAAATACATAATTCAGAAATAAAGTGAAACCATTGTTTCTTCTTATAAGACAGTGTAGTGTAACAGGAAATTAGAGGAGAGAAATGGGAGGAGAAGAAGATCAGGACAAGTGCGCTACCATCTGCGTCACTCAGTCTGACAGAAATATTACATTTTGAAGTATGTTTGATGTTTTAATCCCATATAATAGGTTGGATCAGAAAATGACACTAACTGGATTTGATCTCAGGTTGCTGACATATTGTCATAAAGCACTTCATCAGAGCAGTGTACTGGATTTGTATGACTGTGTATATCAGTATATTATAATGTGGAGATGTGAGCCCTGAGGCTGACAATCAGCATATTGTCATATTTTATCAATACAGTCATTTAGCATCAGCTGGCAGTCAACAGACTGTTTGTGTAGCAGATAGTCAATTAATTCACACTCAATATGTTCTCTGTGTATACACTGGATGTACTTTATATCAATTTCACTGTTCGCATTTTTAAAAATTAATGCGTTTAAGCAGTTAACAACTCTTGGCATCCACAGGACTGCCTGTTTTCGAGGGCTGCGCTGCTTACTCTTGTCCTAGAGTTCACAAACTCGTTCCTGCATCCCTGGGTCCTCCTGGGTGCCCTGTTCTTCAAATCCTTGACACTCCATTATTGCTCCATTATTTCCTACGGCCTCCGCTTGTATCCCTGGTGAGGTCTCTAATTCTGTCCAACACCCTTTAACCAACAAGGGACTGTGATGAGATCTAATGTGATTGTCAAGCACAAGCACACTGGCCCTTGGCCGGCCAATGCCAATGGCAGTAGGCCACCATGGCCTAAGAAAAACAACATATCAGAAAGGCATGAGAATATATTCACCCTGGTGATGATGTTTTCCAGGGAGGACAGAAAAGGCATCTGCAGTGGAGCAGAGAAACGGATAGCAATGAAATTGGATGGCAGCAACCATTCTTGTGCCATCTCCGTTTGGATCCCACCCTAGTGCTTTTGGAATTCTCTTGAGGAAAGTAAAACTCAACTCAAACTAGAGGATAAACATCATCTGTTTGTTCTAGATCTCTCTGGGGAGCTCACACCTATTGGTCATTAGGCTGAACAGCTGTCCTCCTCTCCCAATATGTCCATGATACGGGTGCCTGAGCATTTTTGGTCTTTTTTCGGCAGGACTAAGTAGAATCAGAGACAGAATAAAATGGAATAGATGGTGGCTGGATTGAAGTTCTGTCTCTTAATTAATTGAACCAATCACATGTTTGTTTACTCTATATGTATGAACATTAGCTGAACCAGCTTTAAAAATTACATACAGGTATTTTAAAAAATATAAGTACAATGTAAAAACATGTATGTACACAATAAGTGCACTGTACCAAATGATTAGTTTAAATGTAAGTACATAGTGGTTAAGGCCACCTAATATAAAGTGGGACCGAATTATATGCTTTCCTTCCATCTAATATTTAGTTAGTCCTGTAAGGCGTTTTATTTACTTAGGTGGTGCTGTTGGTATACTTCTAATAAAATTAAAGTAAAATACACAAATCACATTAAGATTGTGTTTCTGATTAAATAAAACAGTAATTTATGGAATAAAATCACATGTATGTTTTGATTGAAATGTCAGAAACTATAACTTACATGAATAAAAATCACAAACATGACAGATTCATTCATTAATGTGTAATATATTTTCTTCAAATGGATTATGAAAACTTAAATACAAGGGCGTCTAAAAGATCTAAATAATTTTTTCAACTTTCTTGCTTTAGACTATTTACGAATGTTAAACTTACAAATAAAATGCTAAGATTATCCCTGCATCTGGAAAAAAATAAAATAAAATACAGTGATTGATTCATAGTTGTTTTATAGTTATTTTCAAAGCTTTCAATGTACTCTCATTATAAAATAACTTCATAATTGCTTTTTTAAAATTCTAACAAGTAATTTTTGGTTAAAACTAACCAAAATGAAAAATAAATTGTTTATAATCTCTGCACAGGAGAGATTTGATATTGTTTCCAAACAAAAGGAAATATATAAATATCGGCTATCGGCCAAAATGAGTTGAAAAATATCAGCACATCGGATATCAGCAAAAATCCAATATCCTGCATCCCTATATAATAAAAATTATACAATAATAATAATAATAATACAACTTAAAAGGATAACAACTTTATTTGTTTGTTTGAGGGTTCAATAGAAATAATAATAATAATAATAAAACAACTGTAATGGGATAGCAACTATTATTATAATTTATTTGTTTGTTTGCTGATAAAATATTAAAATTATTGAAAATTATTCATATCTATTGTTTACATAGAAAATATAAAGGAAAATAGGTGCTGTAACTGTTTGTGTATTGTACACATAGAAATAGCTTATTTGATGGCTGTCAAGTGACCTGACACACTTTGAAGGGACTTGATTGATTTTTGAGAGCATTGTTAGTTTGCCTGTTAATCAGTGTTTAAGGCTTCCTTTTATATTTCTCTTAACGTCTGTCTCCTTTATCAAGTGAATGTGAATTCTTAAGTCCATCTGTTTACCAGTTAGCGCTTTCGTTTTGTATGGGGATAACAACTTATAATCTCTAGATGGTTGTTTCCAGTCATGTCGACATGATTGTCCTCATAATTGAGGGTGACTTTGAGGATGTGCCATGCTTATGCTCAGACGGTTGAAGTCATTGACTCCAGCTTTGCTAGATGTCCTGCTGGGCTTTCACCCTTTGCCTCAGTGCATACAGACTCAATCCTGACTCCCCCTGCCCCGATGTCTCACTCACACACACTGAGTATGAGTTGTGCAGAGTGACACACATTCATTTCACCCACAACAAAAAAATACAGACCAGGGTCTAGGAGACAGTGAGATCTGAAAACAAGGGCATCCTGGGATAGTCCTTCCTAAGGGGTTTAGATATACAGTGTCCTGGCAGCCAGCCACGCTGGGTCAGACACAATGTTATCTGACATGATCGTTCAATCACAATAGGGCCAATTTGTATTGCCTCTTCATCACTAAATCATCCTCCTTTTCCTATTGCAGCTATATGGTGCATATTTTTGCTTACAAACTGTGTCAGCTTTTTCTTAATTAAGAAGCAAACAACTAGCTGATATGGATGCAAGAGAATGTGCTTTAGTCCAGATAAACTTAATAGTCTATTTGAAGGGCAGATATTGGTGGTAAGGCAAATAATATTTGTAAAAGTTATATTTTTGTACTCAAAAGTATCATACTACACAATGTGTGAGAATTCAGATTTGTTTGACTTTGTTGTTTCACTTCTTTTGCACGCACACAGTAGATATCAATAAAACAAAGGGAGCATAATGAGGTTCACCCTTTTAATAAAGATCTGAAAGCTACACTAACACAAATTACAGAGCTATGTTTGATTCAAAGGTATAATTAGCGTGATTGTCTCATTTAATTGTAATTATCATTACTGCATAATTTATTGTGTAATATAACCGGTTGTAGCGCAGTCATCCCAATGAGAGCTTGTACAGGCGACCCTGTCACATTTCCTCTGTGGGGTTGCATTTTGTGTGGAACAGGATTCTGAATCTTTGGATCTGTGTCGAGTGATTTTATCAGCAATTATTCATAGGGTGCTGTATCGAATTATATTGCAGGAGGAACAGCTTCGCCTCGCTTAATGCAATGTAGAACTGAATTACTCTTGTAATGCGTATCCCGCAGATAACCAATTAGTCAAATTCACATTGTGCCATCTCAATAAGCCCTCATGTCATTTACTTAATGTGCACAGATTCATATAATTTGCACACTATTTCTATTATACTTACAGCAGAAGTAGGTCTAATTTAAATTTGCAGCAAAAGTCAAATTAAACAATTATTACTATGGTAAAACATTTTTGGGCATGGTACAAAGCATTAAAAACATCTTTACGCTGCCAAAGCATTAAAAACATTATTTATAGTATAGTGTGTGTGTGTGTGTGTGTGTGTGTGTGTGCGCGCGCGTTTTTGTTACATATGAGGACACAAATTTGTATAATGACATGGGTATGACATAGGTATTACAAGGAGAAGGTGACTTATAAGGTGACCATTTTTCAAAATGCTTATAAATCATACAGAGTGAGTTTTTTTGAGAAAGTAAAAATGCACAAAGTTTCCTGTAAGTAGGGTTAGGTGTAGGGTTGGTGTAGGGCAATAGCACATACAGTTTGTACAGTATAAAAACCATTGTGCCTATGGAATGTCCCCACAATTCACAGAAACAAACCTGTGTGTGTGTGTGTGTGTGTGTGTGCCTGCATTCCCTGTGAGGACCAAATTTCCCCACAAGTAATACCAGTAAATTTTGACCTTGTGGGGACATTTGTTCGGTCCCCATTAGGAAACAGGCTTATAAAT